TACGCAACGCCAAAGGATCAAGCCGCTCGGAGAGGGATTGGTCGTCGACGATTCGAACCGCTCTGCGTTGTATACGGTCAAGTGGAAGGAGCTGGTACTGGGGAGCCCCCGCCCAGAGGTGAGAGCAGTACTCCATGTGGGGCCGAATTTGCGCTTTATATAGTTGCATGTGTGTGTGTGTTACATTATAAATTCATGTATTCATTCATTATGCAGAGTGATTCCTCTTTTGGTAAACAATTCATTATGGATTTATGTAATTTACTGAGATTGTTTAAAAGGTTGCAAAAAAATTTCAACAATAGCCCAGCTGCGAAAGCTATTTACAATATAACTAACGTACCATTGATTTTAATAATTTTATAAATTGAGAATCATTACATTATTTAGTTTGCATAATGACTCACCTGTAAGCTTTGAACGAGATCCATAGTGACTTCTGTGATTTTGTCGATCCTTCTAGCACCATTCATATTCACAACTTCAGCCCATTTCTCCCTAACAGATTCAATCGTTACTGGATCAGCTGGCTTGTTCCTACAAAACACATGAAATTATGCCATGCTCAAACATTTACTGAAAAAAAAAGTGCGTGCGTACAAAGTACACAATATTTCTGAAGTGAAACTTCTGTGTAAATTAGTTATTACTAAGGTAAAAGCCCCAATAGATGATCATGTACCAGTATATTATGATCAGAAAATATACGAAATTCTATTTTTAAAATTACAATTTCGTAGAGAATTTATGAAATATTAGTATTTTATTTTAGTCCAAATATTGCCTCGGTGAACCTAATTTAAAAATGAAAAAATTTTGTGACATAGTGCAATATTATTGTCTCACCTTAATGGAACACCCTGTGATCTAACAAGGTGTGCTTTGTGTGCAAAACCTAGAGTTGAGTCAATTATTACACCATTATCTTCAAATGATTCGTGCACCATGTATGCCTGGAAAAGTATAAAAAAACGGCATTTTTTTAAATTAAAAAAAAAACATCGTTACTATAATAAAAAACAACGTAATCATTGGTTAATCTATGACACAAGAACGTTTTAGGATTGTATTTATTCAAAACATCAACCTGTTCTGTTATAAATACATTTTAACCTACATAATAATAAGAATTAAAAAAATAAAGTTAAATTACTTAAAATCTTCTTTCAAAATGTCTTCAAAAACTCTCTTAGAACACAGTTTTTTGTTTTGTGAGAACTATCATATTTTTGGATGTTAGTCAAACTTAATCAGGAACTTTCAATGTCAAAAGTTGTCTGTATTTTTTTCTGTATGAAGTTTGACATATTTGACAGCGCTCAAGACGAGATTGTGACTTGAGATACGAATTAAAATATGGAGCTTGGTGTCAGTAAAAGATAATTATTAATTAAACATTCTATGAACAAAACAATGATATATGATAAAAATAATATTATAAAATAAAGTGCTCCTCCTCCAGGAGAGCCGAATGTTTGAAATGAAATGTTTCATCAGAGAATCAAACTAAACAAGATATATAAAATGGGTAGAAAATCCTTACCACAACTGGAGCAATGAGTTCTGGCTTCATAGCTTGGAACATGTCTGGTGGTAAAATGTCTTCGGTAAGGCGTGAGGCTGCTGTCGGTACAATTGTGTTCACTTTGATGTTGTATTTGGCACCTTCAATAGCCAAAGTACTTGCTAACCCTACCAAGCCCATTTTTGCCGCGCTATAGAAAACAGTATTAACAAAGGGAAAATTATTAGTGTAAGCATAAACATATTACTAAAATATTTAAAACTGACCAGACTATTCGGCCATATATATACAAAAAAAATCAGATGGGCGATTTACCTGTAATTGGCCTGTCCAAAATTGCCAATAAGCCCAGCATTGCTTGATGTCATGACAACACGGCCAAACTTTTGTTTCTTGAAAGCGTCCCATGCCGCTTGTGTGGTTTTGTATGCTCCTTTCAAATGTACGGCATGAACTAAGTCCCAGTCCTGATGCATAAAACGCATATTACTGAGTTGAAAAATATAACCTAAATAATGCTTGTTTAGATTTACATATCAATGGAAGAATACATATGAGTACATTTTATAATAATAATGTAATTTACTATAAGACCTATGTGTGAGCAATTCTTGTAAGTTTATATGGTCTGACAACATTTTTCTCTTTCCTTGCAAAAATATAAATATCATAGAGTTCCATTTTAACAAAGTTAATTAAGGATGGGAAATTCAATATTTTCACTTACACAATACTAGCTGACCCGGCAAATGTTTGTTTTTCCGTGTATATTTATGTCTAGGAAATATATTTTTAGTTCAATAAAAAAAACTATAGCTACAATAATAAAAAATAGGGGTTGATCGTAGAGAGGGTAAAATTAGGGGTTATGTGTAATTTTGTATGCAGTATCATAAAAAAACAAAAACAAAATTGGCGTGGACACCCCTTATCACTTAGGGGTTTTAAAGATAGATAGTAGCCGATTCTCAAACTTACGAATATACAACAAAAATTTCATAAGAATCGGTGGAGCTGTTTCGGAGGAGTATGGGAACGAACATTGTGACACAAGAGTTTTATATATATTAGATTAAGCAGATTAAGAAAAGTAATTTACACAAAAATATTTTGCATAATCATCCCTTAAGGTATGCAAAGATAAACAAAAAATGTCCTTAGATAAAATTAGAAAACAAAAGTTATACAATTTACATTATCACAAATTTACAGTTATAATCTGATAAGGCATACAAGTTATCTGAATTTATTGAGGCAAATAAAAAATAACTGCATAATTGCTTGATACAAGTGAGTTACATCATATTCTTATCATAAGCAAAAGTATATTGAACTCCCTATATAAACTGTATAAATATTTTGTTCAATGTTTTTCTGGCCTTTATTCATTCCTTAATATACAAAAAATATAACTTTACATAGCCTTCATTACCTGTTCTGACATTTTCTGGAAGCTTCTATCACGGAGAATTCCAGCATTATTAATGAGGATGTCAATACGTCCATAGTTATCTAGTGCTGTTTTAATAATTTTTTCACCCTCCACTACAGAATTGTAATCAGCTACTGCCTCTCCACCTACGTAAGGCAAAAGTGATTTAAAATAAAAAACATAACTTCGATGAAAGCAAACTTAACAACTTTTTATTGTAATTGGTACATTTTATCTATACTTAATTAGGTTTTATAATTCCATTTATTGTGCTTTTAAAACGGTAACAAGAAATACTGTTGACGTAAGCCAAGGAAAATGAGTTCCTGTTGGATATTACAATAATAATCTACAAATTTCCTGTAAGGATAAATATTCAATGTACATCCAAGAATATGTCAAATAGTGAAAAATAATGCAATAACACCTTCAATATTAAAAACATAATTAATATATCTGCATTGTCTTGTATGCAACAACTTTAAAATATGTACCTTAATGCTTATTTTAATAATATCTCAACTAAAATGCAAATCATTGTTCATAACATAGCTTGTTAAATATATAATATACTACAGTTCAACAACGACAGTTACGTTAGTTAGTATTTAGTAATATATTAAAACACAAACTAATAAATAATGATTTGCATAATTATGAATACAGTGAATCTGACCTTTGGCTTTTATTTCCTTTACGACCTCATCTGCAAAATTTGACTTGCCAATTCCGTCTCTGGCACTGCCTAGATCATTGACTACAACTTTAGCCCCTCTTGAACCCAAGAGTAGGGCATAGGCTTTCCCAAGCCCACCACCAGCTCCGGTAACTACAGCAACACGACCGTCGAATCGTAACTGCTCCATTGTCGCTACTATAGCAAAGTGAACATTAAACAGTGCAAGCGTAAAGTTATATATTATTTATGTAAATGTATGAGAATAAATGACAGAACTTACGAGTCACAAATTTCGTTCGGTCAAAGTCCCTTGATAAAATAAATGTTAGGTATTATATTCTAAAGTTGATAATATTTTGATATTAGACAATCGTCATTATTTTGACTAATGTCTATGTGACTGTGACAGTTTAGTTCTTTATAACATAGTAGGGATGTGACATTCTGCATAAAAAATCGAATTTTTTTTATTAATCGATTTTTTCCTAATTTTTGAATTAATTTCAAAATAAACACCCTAAATATTTTATTTTTCATAGTTTTTTAAATTAAAAATAAACAATAGAAATTATAAACACAAATTAACGTTTAAGAATAATCAAAATCGAAATTAACTTAATCTCGTTTTGATAGATTTTGATAAATGATGAGTGTATTCCTTTTCAGTAGCACATTGCAGTATTTTTGTTGTCTTTTTAATTGTATGTAGTCTTGTGCTGCTGAAATAATTTATTTTACTTTTAAATTATAGTGTTCCATTCAAACTTGAGTTTTTGTAAAATTAACTTCTTTTATCATCCTATTGATGTTTTACAAAAAAAATCAATGTATCGAGTATATCAATACATCTTCAAAGAATCGGATTCAATGTATCGAATTGTAAACATCGTTGTGTATCGAATATCCCTAATAGTTCGAGGTCCGGGTTATAAAAGACCAGACATAATGTTGGGAGGTGGCAGATAAAAAAATCGATTATGACTGATTTTCAATTATAAAAATAATCGATTATTAATCGATTATTTTAAATATAAAAATCGCGTAAAAAAATCGATTAAAATCGATTTTTTTAATAATCGATTATTTTTTCACATCCCTATAACATAGTTTTCATTGTAGTGGCTTGTCAAACGCCATGTTTTCCTAGTTAATATATAAAAGTTTAACAATCTGTGATAAAAATTTAATTTTAAAATCAACGGTTACAGCCTTATACAAGTTGTTTATTTGTCCTTGTTGTGTTTGTATTTTTGTAAATGTAATTATTTAGAATTGTAAAAATTACTTCTATGTGCCAGTATAATTAATATTGTAAAATGTGTCACTACACTCTTAAATATACATAATATCTAGATTTATTTCGTATGGTTTGTTTGAAGAAAAATTACTTCTGCAGCGTACTTTTAAATTACTTCTCATCAATGGATCATCTAGCGAGTAAGTTATTAACTATAGTTATGTATATTAAAAATAGAAAAGTATATTTAATAAGCATTCCTTTCAGTTATTTACAACGAAAATCAATGGAGGATTAATGCAGTGTCGCCTTTAAATAACTTGCATTTTAACGAGGTGAAATTAAAGCAATATGCTACAACAATTAAACAACACCTTGTTCGTGCGGTTTTCGCAAACGCTTCCATTAAGTTCACTGTTTCTTTTGAAGAGTTACCATACCTGAAGTTCTCTCCAGAAGATCCTAATGGAATACTGGTATGTGAAACAAATAATTATCCCAAAAGATATAAAAAATCTTGCGCTAATTATATCAAGATAATTGATTGCTTTGTAGCGATTTTTTATTTATTTATTAAATTAATCAGTAAGAAAGCAATTATCTTGTTTCTTCCAAATATATCTATGAATAAAACCCGATATTTTAATGTGTTTTAGCTAAGAGTGGAATCAGTTAAAGAATCAAAAACAAAAACGGCTTATGAAGCAATTTTTCTGACATGGGGTACACATTTAACACTTAAAGATGCCATCCACTTGCCTTACATGGTTGAAAGAGGTGAACAAAGAGTTGGTGTATCTGTGAAGAGTTCCTTGCAAAATATATTTGACTGTAACATTAAGGAATACAATTTTTCACAGGTATATTAAATCAATGTGATTTTTATATTTATTATTATGATACTATCTTCTATCTCCTACCTTTTATGAGTTGTAAAACAATTTCATATACATATTAGCAGTATCAATTGAAAGTTTTATTTTTCAGTTATCTTAGGGATACTTTTGTATTACTGCTCAAAAGTAGATATTTCTTATGCTATAGAATTGCCATGATAACTTGGACTGACAAGTTGTGTCCATTGATCAGAATTCCATATAAGTAATCTGCTGGCTTAGGCTAGGACTTAAATAGTTAAGACTTACTTAGTTTACACTACATATATACATTCTAATTCTATAAAAGTGAATCCTAGTTTAACTTTTGAATGTTTATGTTTGATAGAACATTCGATAAAATAAATACCAAAAGAAATCCACAATTTAATTTGGGTATTTTTTTTCCGTTTTCAAACTATCATTTCATTTTTAGTTGTTTTATAGTATACTAGTGGACCCCACAGACGTTGTCCTGCATGATATTTAAAGCGATTAGGATATTAAGCAAAGTATGAAAGTACCGACTGCAGTGCCATCTGCCGGGCTGATTTGTGAATCTAAACCATTCCCAGATCCCCTTGAACACACACAAAAAATTTCATCAAAATTGGTCCAGTCGTTTGAGAGGAGTTCAGTCACATACACACGCACAGAAGAAATATATATATTAAGATATATACATATTTAAAATTTATACATACTTTAATATATTCTCTTAAAAATTCATACATAATAATTTTGTGTTAATTGTAATCTATGTTTTTCTATATGTAATTCTTTTGTCATTTTAGTTACAGTTACTACAAATAGGATTCAATTTTCTCAATGTTGATACTTCTAAAAGTACAGATCTTTTCATAATTGGCTATAAAATACCACAAACTGATATAACCCAGAAAGTATCGTTTAAATTTGAGGTTGGTGAAATGAGGAGAATTTGGAACAGGTATTGATTTACTTTAAGGGCTAACATTTTAATAATATACAAATAGAGAGAGTTTCCATATTTATAAAAATGAAGTAACTATTACTATGTAGCAAAAGTAATAAAATTTATTTCATAAAATCTGCTTAAAAAGTACAATGTTTTTTTTTATAAATTCATACCTGCTATTATAAACGTAACTGCTAGAGATGTTTTGTCTTGTTTTTAAAATCAATAAACATTGCAACATTCTTTAACAATTTAATAGCTTATGTGGGTGACTGAAAATCTTTAATATGAAAACACTTGTTTCAGCCTTAAAAAGGAGTGTTTAAATGAACTAGAATTGGTTCAAGTGATGTACCAAAATCTGCAAAATCAAATATTTTATATGATTACATTAGATGTTACAGTATTTGAGCTAAGTGAAGTTATTTTACCTAATGCTGAAGTGAGGAGCAATGGTACAGTGAAAATGAAGACAGCACAGGCTATAAACTCACTATTTGTAACATTGAACCAGTATTTCAGATAAGATTCTGGGGAGTTAGTACAAGTTTCACTAATTAGAAAGAGGCATATTTGTTGTATTAGCCTTAACCTTTTTTAGAACAAGAAACCTGCATTAGTTAATAATATTGATTTCGCTACTTGTGTAAATAGTAATATAAAATAAAAAGTTTTACCTCAAGCTCTTATTATTGTATCTAAAATTAAAAATAAAAACAATTATTTACCTTTAAAACATTTATTTCATGAATATGCTTTACAAATATGTTGCACATTGTAACCTTATAAAATATTACTACATCATAATGTGCTAAACTTAAAAATAACCTTATTTCATGTCCTTTACTATGCAAGCAGTTCTCTTTAATACAAATTACTGTTCACAAGTTGCCTGATAAACAACTTTGGTTTTTCTTGTGTTTACGCCTGTAAAATGTACCCATTTTCAAGGCCTTATTACCATATAGTTAATCACTATTCATTTATTTAAAATTCGTCGCGAACTCTGGGGTATTAATTCAACAAGATATTTAAAACAATCTATTAGAGTTGTAGAAATAAAGATTTTCAGTTATAAAACAATATCTAAATAAATAATCATTGCACTTTGAAAGAAATTATTTCAATTATAGTGTATTGGCCATAAATAAACACACTAAATTAAACATTTTCACATAAATCACAAATTAGCTATTTATTTAAAGTGATTGGTTAACATGAGATGTGCTCAAAGCGATTTTAATAAGTCAAGAAATAAAAAGGACCATAAAGAGAATAGCGGTAAAATTTAGTTGTTCAATAAAAAATGTATTAATGTAAATGCGTAATAGCAACACAATACAACACATACGCTAACATCAAACATTTACATACCAATGTTATACTTCATGGGCTTATTACTGTTTAGAACTGATTTAGTATGGTATCTGTGATTTGGTTAAAAGAATTACATGCCAACTTTTTGCCACGTCTATAGGCTACGCTGGGCTGTTAAAAAGTAGCTGAATAAAGCTCGAATTGTACTAAATATAACAGTAAGACAGGGAGAAACTCTAAGCTCTAAAAAGTTGACAATTTTTTTTATGAAAAATGTAATTTGTCAATGAGTGTGAACTAAAGTCAAAGTTATTTGTTAGTCAAGTGGGTCATACGTGCATATTGACCTCATAAGTTAATTGCAGACTCGAGCCATAGTCCAATCTCTATAAATGGTTGACTTAGGTCTAATTTAAAGATTTGAGAAGATAACTTTACTGCCGTACTAATAACATAATTCCTAAAGTTCATAATTTTGAAACGGGAGTCCCTGCAACCATATGTTGGAATCACTCCATATAAAGTAATTTGCTCATAATTGATTCACGCTAAGGTTTTGAAAGTAAATCATACATATGCTCAAGGCCATCCCGATGCAAAATAATCACGGTGCACTGCTCATTATAATAATTGGGTTGGAAAGCTTCAAACCATGACAGTTGAATAATATGTAAGCCCTGTTACAAACCAACATATTGTGTATTTGAAATATAACATTTACTATCATTATAACAAGCAGCAAACAGTTAATTAAATTCTATAAAAGATGTTAATACAGTACTTTATATTTACCGATGAAAGGTAAGATACAAGAATAATATAAAAATGCTAGTGTGGACTGACCAGAGTCCACCATAGACATTTGAATGCAACCTATTGTAGCTTATAAAATTAATTTAATCCGGCATGCAGTAAGTTCCATATCCGTTTATATTGCACACATCTGCACCTTTCCTGTTATCAAAAAAATACTTGTTAAAAATAAACTAAATTTATGATTCCTTAAAAGCAAACCTTTCATGTAACTTAGTAGTTAAAAGTTAACAACAAAATCTATAGTATCCCTTATATATTTTGACAGCTAGAAAGATCTACTAAAAAGTTAAAGCTTATATTATCATAACATTAGCCAGTTCTAATATGGTTGTTTAAACAGAAGTTCTAGGTATTCAAATTTCGAATTCCGAGAAATAAATAATAATTTAGATTGAGCCTAATATAAGCTAAGCTTAAGAAAAATATCATGTCTGTACCTAGAAGCCCGCTCAGTGTGTGCAACCGAGCACCTAACAGCATCCACCCCCGGCCGCACCCCCCGCTCCCGCGCCTCCTGCCTTCGCCCCTCCCGCTGTCGAGTGCTGGGGCCCAATCTTGATACCATTCGCCTAGAGTGCACCGAAAACAATAAATAAAGTCGTATGAGTGAAGGATCGTCACGAGGCATAATTGTAAACTGTGTCGGATCGACCTCATATATTATTCACCCACAAGTTCTACCAAATCTTAGTTTTCAAACAAAAATAAAATCTGCGGTCGCCATATTCAAAAATCATTCTACTGTCACTTGTCATCTTTCTTCTTGTCATATTTAATTTTGTAGTGCCTAAACCAGAGAGAATCAAGTTTTCGAAAATCAACAATCAAAAATTCATTTTTATAACTCATGTCTAAAAGAGACCTTTATATAAAATAAGTGACAGTAATTTATTCAAATCAAATAAGATATTGTGTATCATCCTTAATACATAATTTATTTAATCATCTTCCGTTGTTCGGGTCAATAGCATTTTTATTGACACTTGATTCAGACGTTATTATTGAATATATATTATTTTGTTTTCGTCTTTACTTCTCACCTTTTTTACGAATATCATCGATATTATCGAAAAAGAACAGTCGACTCTCAAAAATATGAAACTCAAGGGAGATAAATATCTCAAACCACCGAAGTGACCAATTATCATTGATTTTATGAAATTTATCGTAATTTTCAAGGGACCGAAAAAAAAATCAATTTATCGAGAGATTCAAATTAACGAGTGTCAAATTATAGAGTCCACTGTATATTATACAGACATTATCAAAGACAATGTTTGTTCATCAATATGTACGTGTATGTGCTTAAATTTAATAATAAAATTACACATCAAATTGTTAAACCTTCTAAACTTTTTTATGAAGTTGGCTTAAAAAATCTGAAAATTGGTGGATGTGTGTGTTCAGAAGATAGAAATGAAAGTATCTAGTAGGTTTTTTTTTTTGTAGAATTAAAATGTAAAGAAACCTCTATTTGATGTAATTACCAAAAATTGTCATTATTATGTAATTATAACCAACCTCGTTGTTAATGTCGAAAACACCCTCCTGGATCTTTTCGTAGATCTCTTTAGCAGTGTTGATGAAAGCCTCCTCAACATTTGCGGCAGTTTTCGCAGAAGTCTCCATAAACACAAGTCCATGTTCACGAGCGAAGGCCTCACCTTCCTCTTTCTTTACTTCGCGTCGTGATTCTAGATCACTAGAATGATTCATTTAAAATTTCAAGTTCAACTAAATTTATGCTGATGTCTTTATCGGCGGCGTCACAAATTAGATAATTAAATATTTGGTCAAAAATGTTGGTGGCCAAAGAATATATGAAATTACTATTTTTTTTTTTTTAATGGACAATAAGTATTGTTTTTTGTTTACTTGTAGATAAAAAAATATCATTAGTAAAACATGTACCTTAACAATGTTAAAGCACCAATGAGTATAAAAAATATAATGTAACATAAAAATATGCATGCATTGCCCTATGTAAGATTCCTCCCTATTTCAACAGATGAATCACAATAAGTATATATGTGATTCATTAGTTAGTGTTGTATAGACTTTAGATAAAATCAATCTCTTTATAATAATTTACAATATTATGAGGGCTCTACTAATTATTATCAATGTATCTTATTTACCGTTACTATAATGTATTTAAACCAACAGAAATTATAATGATATATGCACATTCTTTTTAAAGCTAAAATAGTTAACTCCTATGTTATAAAAAAAGTTAAGTGTTAAATTATTCTTTTCATTTGAATTAGACTTGTTGAAAACTGTTTAAGTTCATACCTCTTATTGCCAATAAGCATAATAACCATATTAGAGTTGGAATGTTGGCGTGCATCTTCAAGCCAGGTGGTAAGATGATTGAATGTCTCTCGCCGAGTAATATCATATACTAAAAGAGCGCCTGCAGCACCTCTGTAGTAAGAACGAGTGATTGATCTGTAATAAAGTACATAGAATAAATAAATGTGACTTGTGAAATATTAATAAAAATTACCACAAGCCGTGATAAAATACTTAAGAGTAAAGTTAGCCATAGAAAAAAATAATTGAAAAAGAAAAAGATTTCATCCCAAAAGGCTGATTAAAGCCCAAATCAATGCATACAAAACACAGGCAGTTCTGAAAATAATTTATGCTTGTCAGTTTGTTGCCCATTCTGTTCAATAAACTTTACTATGTCCACTAGTTTACAAAGTTTAAAAACAATCTAACAAAGTGTAAAAAACAATAACATTGATGGTTTATTGACCTAGTTCATTGTACTTCATTTCATTAAGTATACATTAAGTCACCAAGTACAGTTACACATAACTGGTACAATTACCTTGGAAGCTAGAAATTTTACGAGGATATGTGATGTAAACCTATGAGTTTTTAAAAATTCTATTGCTGATGAAGGAAATTAGTTGTTTGGAAGGTTGTATTACTAACAAACTTGGGAGTGAGTGAAGGCTCAATCAATAGCAACTACATTACATACTTATTAATGCATATCTCTGAAATTTAACTATAACATGTTATACCTGAATGCTTCTTGGCCAGCAGTATCCCATATCTGCAGTTTGATTTGTTTGCCATCAATAGTAATCATACGAGCTCCAAATTCAACACCAATAGTTAAATCATGAACAGGCTGGAACCTCTTGTCTGTAAACTGAAGTAGCAGACAAGACTTGCCCACACCTAGTGAAAAATTGTTATATTAAGGTATTAATATTTATGTGTTTTTATTAAAAGTAATATTTAGATAATGTCTATAACAAGACTAGAATGAAAAGAAAATGAACACTGGCTTTTAAATACAAAAAAAGGTCAGTCTGAAATGCTTGAAAAAGAAATTAAAACAAATAATATATAATACAATATTTTTTCACAACATTACTTTGTTCTTTGTTGCACAATAACAAAGAACAACGTCCTTGATACTAAACGAAAAATTAAAGGTATCCTGATATGAGTTCATTATAAAATTACAGAATTATTTTTAGTAAGATTAAACACACGTAAATGCCTTTCAATTAAAGCCTACTTTTATATTAAGCGTAGGCGGAACACTAGGATGTAAAGCTATCAGTATCCATAGAAAGAAAGGAAATTAAAATAATATTTTTAGTAGAAATACAGAACTAAATCCCTGTCTAAGTAAATCTAGTATAATTACTAATTCCTAAAACTAAGATTAAAAGAAATAAACGATGAACAAAATACATATAAAATAATTTCAGGAAATAAAATCAATACCTGTATCTCCAATGATGATGTATTTAAACAAGTAGGCGTAAGCCATTTTAACTTCTATCGATTATATTACGATTTGAAACTTGTGAATCAATTTACGTTATATTTACTTTATGTTCTTGTAAAATAAAATTAGACGCAATTTTAGATTTTCACAGCTGGATAAATCGTAAGATGCTCGTATTTAATAAAATTGTCAAGTACAATTTGACAACATGCATTCTCATTTCGCGATAAGAAGGACAATTGACAAATTTAAGAAGTTTACAGGTATTACATTAAAGTTTATTCAATTGCTCTTAACTTCTTAAGTCTAACTTATGCTTTCTATTAGGGTCAGCTTTAATTAATCAAACTTAAATGAGAAATAAGTAAATAGAGGTTTGTAGCTCGTGCTGGCGAAGCAAATCGAAACAAGAGTAACACTCTGCGAGTGTGTACTCTAGTAGTATATTTATAGTCTATTATAATACTATATGGAAAATACAGAGTATCAATCTGTATTTTCTATCCTTGTTATTTGACAATAATTTATGATTTATCTGTTCATACTTCATAAGTATCAGTTGAAAAATAGTTTGTTATTATTCATTATTCAATTAAAAATAAGCTTTTTATAATTTCGAGTTTGTGTTATTTTATTGCTATTAAATAATTAACAATATTGTGTTTTGCATATTGCTGATAAGATTCATAACGTCCCTAATTTTAACGTAGGTAACCTTCATGTATACAATGCCGACGAATTTTAAAGAATCTTGTTTTTAATATAATGGAAGCTAAGGAAGAATCTTCATCAATGAGGAATATACAGGAACAAGAATTAGTTAACGTAGAGCACAAATCGAGTAAAGACTCGTTAAAGGAAAGAGGACAAGGTGATGGCGATGACGAAGTGTGCGAAACAACGTCAAACGAAAAAGAAACTTTTACACAAATTGTACAGAGGTCAGCTGATACACAAACTAATACAAGCTTAGAACCTAATGACCAACAATCCATTTCTGTTGAACACGTAGAAAGATCACATATGGCCATTTCAATTTACGAAAATAGTGCAACAAGTTCACATTGTATAAGGCAAGCAAGCTGTAGCAAGAATTTGACTAATTCTAATGATTTTATAGGCTCCCGTTGTGAAAAAGCTCCAAGTGAAAGTGAAAAAACTAGTAACGAAAAGCTCTACATTTGTGAAATTAATGAACCTTCTACAAGTGGCCTTCCTATAGCTTCAACTAGTAAGTGTGAAAGTATATCTTGTAATAGTGAAGGAAAAGAAAATAAGAAAAGACCATCAACACTAAGGCTCAAAAGGCCCGTGCCTGAAGGTGAAGACAGTTCAAGTGATACAGGAAATGATGATTATTCACTGGGGTCCGAAGATGGTTGTATTTATACATATAGAGGTGGTGAACATTTAGCTGATCTACCAAGTTCTTTCTTTAGCTTAGATATGGGATTGCCGTTGACTCCAAATTCAGCAATAGCTCCAGCTGTGCCAGCAGTACCTCAAGCAGTAAATAACAGACCTGGTTCACGAGCTTCCAGTCCTGATATGGATTTCTTGGAAATGGACTTTGATCCTGGACCCTCCTGCGAAGCAGACACAGGTGACGAATCAACACCTGAAGCTGATATAGAAGTTGTCAGTGTTCCTGAAGTCAATGAGCATGTTATAAGAGGAACATCACCGGAATATCAGCCTGGTGTGGTACAGCCACTTATGCATCCTGTAGCACAAAGCAGCACTGTTAAACCATCAATATTTGATGTGCCATCTACTAGCAGTGATAATGTTCATGTGCAGGATCACTGTACCATAGTTAAAAAGTTAAGGGTAACTCGTACAGAGTACATCACTCATGTGAATGTTAGAGGAGAACGACTAAGGGTTCGAAGGACAATGGCATATCACCCAAATCCTGAACCAGTTACTGCACATGGCTCCAGTGGTGATTTGGTATCAGCTAGAGAAATTTTAAATTGTAAGTAAGCTTTGTTACATAATCTATTGATATAAATGTTTTGTTATATGCAGTCCTTTTGAAGTGTGAGCTATCTTACTTTTTATAGACAATGAAGAAAAAAAGGATGTAGGCATGGCTCATCAAATAAATCAAGGGGAAAATGCAACAATTGACTCGGTTAACTTGACAACAGCATTATATCATGTCAACATGGCGAAGAGACTTATGGATGATCAGCCTAAAAGTGATGAAGTTCAAAGTTCTACTTGTGAGGTACTTAGTTACAGCATTAATTCAATTATAGTGGATGTCTGCAAATATGTTAATTGTTAAAATAGGTGAAGTATTTAATAAGTGTAAGTACATTTCTACTTTTAGAATGCTGACCCTGTGGCTGGTCCCTCACAGGCTAGTGAACCTTGTGTAGAAGCTCCGCGGTGCATGGTGTGGTCGGAGCGAGAAGCATGTGAAAGACAAGTCACGCAGATAGGCACATCTGCCTGTGGAGCTACAGCGATAGTTAATGTTTTTGTGAGTATACTTGCATGATAATTTTTGCTAGGGAAAAGTAAGTTTCACCCGTTTGTGCCTGACAAACACTGTCATAAATGAAAAAATTTCTTATACTTTGTTGTTATTTGTTTATACAATTTTCAGCTTGCACTAGGAGTTCCTGTAAATACTGAAAGAATTAATGTTGCAGTAGGCACAAGACAAAGGGCCAACAATGCACCTATACCAAGGTAATACTAAAAATCATTATGTTTAATAATTATTATACATATGTATATAACCAGCCTAATTATAAAGTACTGTGTGTATGTCATGGTATTACCATTTCATCAATATAAATGGAACTAACATTGTAACTATGTCAGCAAATACAGTACTAACTTAAATCCATGGTGTTATGTTTGCATTTGTGATTTTGTTATAGAATATGAAGGCAAGTACCACGCCTCATTATTTAATAAGGTATCCTGTAGTTTACAGTTAGTAGTATGCATTGCTCCCAAGCTCATTAAAGTATTTGATTATTATGAAACATAATAAATGGTTTATAATAAGGCAAGGTTTGAAGTAGCAGTATTTACAATACAATTTAAACATACAGTGATGATATATACAGTGACATTGGTCATCGGAATTTTTTAAAAACAAATTGATATTGTTTTGTTATACTTGAGTACTTTACAAATGGTAAAAATTTATTAACAAGTTTTATTTAAACATAATTGTAATACAGGTGGTTTTTGTTGATACCTTTTTGTGTGTACAGTTTAAAAATGTAATATTAAAAATAACCTTTCCCGTTTCTTCCCAAAATATGTCTTGATGATTTCCAAAGATCCTATGACCACTATCAAGATTGTTGTTGGTTGATTATTTCCTTGTTTATGTCAAGGCTGATTTTAAAATAAATTTATATTTTGAGTAATGTATGAGTCCAAATCTTTACATGCTTGTTAAAAAAAATAGTCTAATTAAACTTATCCCTCTCTTTCTATCAAATTGTGTTTACCCTATTATGAAAGTTCTTTAGTTAAGTTATGAATAAGGGGGTCAGTATTTTTCGTTATTTTAAGGTATTTATTGTCACGCTCTGTGGCGGGTTGTACGGCGTCAGATCTCGTCACGGGCATACAAAAGGCTTCAGATGGCTTGGTCACAGCGAGATTCTTCCCAACATATCCCGAAAGAAGTCTTTCATTGTTACATTGGCTTGCTGATTGGATTTCATTGGGTAAGAATTTTACACAGCAGTGACTCTTTGTCAAGGTGGGATGGAATCCCGGCTGTCTACCAACCAACCAACCTTTAACTTATTTAGGTTAAGGGAGCGTTCAAATATTACGTCACGCAATTTACGGATTTACGGAGATTATTTGACTCTCCCCCCCCCATGTAACGCCCAAGTATAGTTAAACGTTTCGTAACCATCTGGTGACTCTTTATACCTAAAAGTTACCCCATTATTTGCTGTAAAGTCCTGGAAAGTCGAAAATAATATTAACAATAACGGCTTAATCCAATCCCCGCCCCGCATCGTAACGTTTTACAAAAGGACCCCCCACCAAAATTCGTTACGTAATACTTTTTTACTGTTTCGTGATTTGTTTTTTTTCTAATAGGCACGTGCTGAAAGGTATATGATCAGCCTTCTATGCCCTAACAGATGCCGTACATTTTTTATTTAATATGTTATGTTAAATTGACTATAAGCCACAAACATGATTACTATTTGATTATTGTAATTTGTATGTAATATATTAATTATTGGAGGTGATTATTTTTTAATAACAAATAATTCAGGTGCAGTACCAATCCTCACGTTAAACCTTCAGCTGGGTAGCGAAGGTGAGATCCCAGATGCCTGGCATCATCAGATGGTGTTTGGGGTGTCTCCCAGGGGAGTGTACCTGTGTAATCCAGTGGAATGCGTCTCCGAAGGGGTTGTCTGGTCACGACTGGTGTCTCCTTCAGTGCTTCTGGTGAGGTCAAGGGATATCGTGGCCAGATTTGACCCGGAGACTGATATGTCCCCGTTGACAGCGGTGCCTGATATCCGGTTTCATAGGATGAATGTGCTTGGTAAGTTTATTCATTAATCACTTTAAATTTTCATTGTAAAATACACTGTAATACTGAAATGGGGGAAAAAAAATGTGAATAAAACTAAATAAGAAATATTTGCTTAATTAATTTTTTTTTATAGGTGATATTTTTCTCTATTTGTTTCACAAAATTTCACAAAAAGGCAATATATAAACTAACTAGCAGCCAAGCGTTGCTGTGGCTAAGGTTTTTGTTATATTACTTAGTAGCAAACTATTCAAGGGAAACGGTAGTAGGGAAATTGTAGCTTATGTGAAACGTTGGTACTTTCAACACAGCGCCATCTGTTAGAATTGTGACTGTCAAATAATAAACAAATGGTTTGCATTAAAATAATATTGGGGGTATAAATTATTGAGATTTAAGCTATCCTATCTTTGAAGTTAGATCAAACTGCACACGGTGTGCAAATTTGATTGAAATCGGTTCAGTAGTTTAGTAGTCCATAGCGGACAAACAACGTGACGCGTAATTTATATACATTAAGATAAAATTCTTACTTTGCTACGCGTTATTTTATTTATTCACAAAATTTACATGCTTTTTTACTATTTTTTTTCTTCATAAAATCAAGTTTGCTCTCTAATAACTTAGCACTGCAGCGACTCCACGAGATTGAAGCCAACTCTTGCAGGATATCCCCCGTAAAACCACCTTCAAATACTCCCCCAGGATATCTAGATTCCCCATAAATTATGGAGAAATACCCCCAAGTTGGCATTACTGCCCCGCGACGGGTGTCTTCCCGCACAGACTATATTGCTATATAGAATAATTCCTTAACTATAACTTACCTTTCACCTACATTCTACTGGAACTAACCGACTCTGGTAGGGACCGTTCAAGTATTACATAATTACTGTTGACGTAATCACCAAATAAGAAAATCAAAGAACCCCCTCCTCCCTATAGTGTTTACATATGCTTGACCGGCCCCCTAGTAAAATACTAAAAAATTTCGTTTAATATTATCAGGTCAAGTAGCAAACGTCCTTCGCGAATGGCGTTACTCGGGTTGTACGGAAGCGGATACGCGTACACGTCACATAGTGATCCCGGCTTCGTACCAGGCCGGGGTCACTGTGGCGGCTCTCACGGGCTCCGAGGCTCATAGGCGCCTCATGCACGCTCCGCATTTAACTGCCTATACAGAGCCATGAAAGTGGTGTTTGCTGATTCGCATATATATGGTGAGGAGTCTTCCCAATTTTAGTCTAGATCAGTGTTTCTCAGCATGGGGCCCATGCCCCACAGAGAGGAATTTGATTATTAATCCGAAAATGTTCTTAAAATATGTGGAATTAGCATTTTTGTTATTCATTACCTATATGTTTTACTTACTGTGTATTGTTAAAAAATTCCTAGTAATTTCTTCCTAAAATGGAACAATATGATAGCTATCATTTATGTTTATTTAATTTAATGATGAAATATAGGGGCATAACACAATAAAGCTTGAGAAACACTAGTCTAGACGATATATATAGCCTTATTCAAGAAATGGAATATGCAGGACTTTTTAAATGGGTTAAACCGCAGGGCGGAACGCGGGGTTTGAAAAATAAATTGATGTGGAAGCCAGCCTACCAGTATTTCCACTTCGACATTGCTACCAACCTTACGTACCAATTCTTATAAGGCCGGCATCACTTGCGAGCCTTCCAGCAATTTGAGTGTCCATGGTTTTTTATGGTTATGGTTTATCATCAGATGAGTCGCCTGCCTGTTTGCCTCCTATTATATAAAAAAAACACAGAGTATCTCGGGACGTGAGGCCGGTGAGGCTAAATAAATGATCACGAAACTGATACAGAATTTTGAGGGTACGTCTAAAAGGTTGTGGCGCAACTGTTTTTTTATTATAAAACTGTAGAAGTAAATAGGAAATAAATGTAAGCGAAGACTGTAGCCTTTTTGTTTCTATATTACAGGTGAATCAGAAGCCAAAAGAAGAATGAACATTAGTGACGTACTATGGTCGCCAGAGAACCACCGAATTTTTGTGTATAACATACTCAGTGTGGATTATTGACTTATTTAACCTTGTATATATGAGACGTTATATATGCTTTTTATTACTACCTTCAGATCTTTTCTACAGTCGCTGTGTATGGACTTGTCACGTGTCCATACAAATTTGATTAGTTTCGCCTTTCAGTCGGATGGGAGCTCAGTACTAAGAATTTTAAAAGACCTAAACAACGTTTATAGTTCGATGATAATTACGTAAGTACCCGCACTTATTCATCAGGATCAAATATGTCTACAAAACGTGGTTAAAAATAAAATGTAATTTCAGTTATTTCTTTAAAACATAACGAAGAATAATGAGTATTCTTAAAAAAATATAATTTTTATATTCTAAATGTAGGGTATTTTCAGGCGGTTTTAAAAAGTCACCCTGTGTTTACCATCCTTATACAAAAACTAAATTTTAAAACAGTTTGTCGGCTTATTTGTCTGTTTTAAATACGCCGTGAGTTTCAAATAACGGGCTAGTTAAACCACCGACTCCCGGTTTCTATATAAAATACCAATCGTAATTTGACTGCACTTTTATATACGACTCGAGCAGATGGTATTTTGTATATAAAACTTTCTTAAAAGCGCAAACGTTGTCAATAAACATATATTTTTTATATCATCAATGCATGAAAAAGCTTTTTATCGCTCAAATTCGTTTGAAAAACACCATGTATAACGTCAATTTAATGATAAAATCTATATACAAAAATGTGATTGGCTAAATTTTATTAGCCACATGTAAATAGTATGAATACGATAAAATATAGACATTAGAAAATTGGTGCTTACTAGTCAAAATTATATTAGCACATCCTTATTTAAGTCTTGACCGGTTTGCTGAGCCATTGTGAAATAAACCTTAGCACATGGCTATAAAGACGAATTTTAAATGAAAATCTCTCGTCGGTCATATTTGGGCTCATAAATGCGCCAAGTGCGAACTAATGACACTGAAAATTCATTTCCTAACATTAGAAATTGAAGGTTTAGAAGTTTTATTATTATTTTAAATTATTAATTATGTATGCAATTTTTTTTAATCCGATCTTTGACAAGGGGAAACTATTCTCTCTGTTGTTCTGTGCATTACTAATCATAACAAAAAAATTTAATAGGCTATTCGACAGTATTAATAAAAGTGTTATTTAAAAACATGGCTTTAAAGGGGAAAAAATAACTAAAAGTAAAAAAAATATAATTAATATTTATTTTCATTCGTCATCTGTGAGCGTAGGGTCACCTAGATTAGTTGTTAATAATGTTATCGCCTACCTAATTCGAATATTGTCTTGGAGTTTTAATACGTCGGAGGCTGATGGATCGAAATATGTTTACGTAATTTAAGAATGATAATAAACATAAATGCTTGTTACAAGTCTGGTACGTCGTGGTGCGACGCCATCTTGCCTAGAGAATTTAGCCTGTTTTTAAATCATGAAAGTATATTTCACAAAGTTAACAATAAGATTTGTGTGTCTATAGTCTATAAATAATTCGAAATGGTTTTTAAAATCATGTCAAATAGCCTATTATTTGAATTCCTTAACCCGGAGAACCCCCTTTTTATCGTTTTGTTTATCAGTACCACTATCTTACGCTTCCATTATTCTTTAGTAGAGTTGATATTTATCTTTTAAGGAAAATAATTTCCAGTGTCAGAGTTGTATTATATGAAACTAAAATGTAAATCCTACGTAGTGTAGTTAACTGAAGATGTATTTATTTAAATCCTCTTTGTTAAACGTAAATGAAATCTTCACAAGCCCGGATGTCATCAAGCATATTATTACATGTATTTTTGAATAAATGGTAATAGAACAATGGTTGTTTCTTTTTAAACCAGATTATTTTCAATTGCGATTCAACGTCAATAAAAAAATAACTTGTCTTCTGTGAATTGTACTGCGCGAACAAGCGCAACAGCGTTGTACTTACTTACATCGAAGTTGCAGAGTCCCTGGTCTGAGAAGAACTAGTCATGAAACTCAGGCGAATTATTACGAATTTTTTAAGTAAGAAAATTCTACAACTTTCCAAGCACTAGGATTCTTAAACCTTGAAAAGTAAACCCCTTTTACCATATGATTTGAATTTATCGATAATGCTTGTAATACGCAAGGGATTTTTCTTAAATAACATATATATATATGGTAGGTACCTACTTGCTTACGACCAGGGTCTGCAATCAGTACGTAGTCTACGTACAATTTGCGAGACCCCCCAGTCACTAAATTGAGTGAATGAGATTTGGCTTTGATGTATTTAATAAACAAGCTCCGGAAACAGCTCATCACTCTAAAAAGCAACCTCGTTTAATCTTCCATGATATATTTTTGCCAACCTGCAAGTTTCTCTAGAAACTGAATCAGTTTGATTTTTTTAGTGTGCACGTAAGCCTTTTACAAATGTTAGTTATCTAGTTTTATGTATTGTATACTATAATACGCAGAACAATGTACCTACCAGATAAGTATATGGAGTAGAAGTAGTAAAACACTTTTTAAAATTAATTATATATTTTCGAATCAGTAAAAAATACATAAAAATATGTACATCACCCCAACAATGTATTTATAATACTTTTGACAACTATTTATGTAAAATATGTACCTAATTTACAAGTCAGTCCCACATGTCAATATAAAATTTAATATTTTAAATAAAATACAATGGCGAAAGTCAATAAAATGTCTTTACTTACAATCTCTATAATTTTCCTTTGTATCCAATCTTATATCTTTAGCCCAGCACTAATAGACTCGTATTCTTAAACGTATGTAAGACATGTTGTACTGTCAAAATGTCTCTTGCCTATACCATGACCACAATAGCAGGATTGTGACTTAAGGTCCTTTCTAATATCGTTCTTATTACTTTGGATTAAGGTATATTTTACAATGGAAATGTCTTGCTCCACCGATCATGGTTAGTTAAGTGTTATTACCGTTTTAGAATACGAGCTTAAACGCTAATGAATAAAATGGTAATACAACAAAGTTGATAAATTATTAAATACTTTCAGAACAACAATTTTTGTATCATCTAATTAATCTACAAAACTTGCCAATTACACCAAGTTAAACAAGCCATAAGTATTTAAATATTCTACTTTATAAATTATACTTGAGGGTAGTTTAAAAATAGAAAATAAACTCTATTTTTATATGTCTTTTTTTTCTTCTTTTTTTTATCAATTTTTATGGGACTAGGAAGGCTCCAAATGATTGTGAAATTAAAAAAATATATTCAGGTTCACTTCAGTCCCTATCTTTATCATTTAGATTGGGTCATAAATAATAGTTTTTTATAGGGCTTAGTAATGATGTTTCAAAATTTTCGTCTATATATTTCTTTTGGTTATGTAAGAATCCGAAAACGATGACAACAATACTATGCCAATGTAGGCGGTAACTGAGGGTAGTTTCAAAAATGCAAAATTATTTCTTTCTATTATAAGTTAGTGCTAACAGTTTCATGAACAAATCGGGCATATTCCCTGAATCAGGAAGGAATGTTTGCGAGAGCTTTACTATCGCATCGTATCGTTGTTTTTCCTCTCGACGGTATAGTTCTGGTAAACCGAGTTCTTGATAGAGTCGTTTTATTCGTTCGACATGGGCTGGTTCGTGGCTTCCATAGCACGCTATGAACACTTTTCGCTGCGGTTCAGATAACCGTTGCAGAGCTTGCACGGCCAGCCATGAGCATTTCCCTTCTTGGATATCGGTTCCTGCTTTGCCTGTTAGGTGCTCAGCACCGAAACAGTCTATGTAGTCGTCCTGAATATTACAAAAATATCTCTAAAGGAACTTAATTGAAGATTAGCACACTAGATCATTAAAATTCCATTTCCTCACTTTTCAAAATATTTTCTATATTTCGACAGTACCCAAATAGTCTGCGCGCAAAGAGAACCTTAATATTTTTGTGTATGAGTATATAATATAGGAATTATATTTGTTTACATAAGCTCCACACTAGTTCCCTTTCCGCAGACTACGTGATACTCAATTCTCATACGAGATTTTGACTAGAGATATATATAAAAAAATCAGTGGCGCTACAACCATTTTTTTGCGCTGGGACTCAGATTTCTGTACCATGACCATTTGTAATCTAATAGGCAAGTAGGTGATCAGCATTCTGTGCCTGCCGCACGCCCTCGACTTTTTGGGTCTGAGGCAAACCGGTTTCCTTACGATGTTTTCCTTAGAGCGAATGTTAAATGCGCACATACATTGGTGCACAGCCGGGCACGAACCAACGACGACAAGTTTAAGCCATTAGGCCACACTGCTCTTTTACTAGAGATATCAGTCTTAATTAATATTCTTTGGAAAATCCTAGACCTAGATTTTAATAGTTTATTATGCGTCTCATGTCTAATGACTAAATGAATTAACCTAAGTTTTATTTAATTGTTTCTTTATCGATCTTTATGACGCATGTATCGTAGGTTACGTGCATGTCATTTGTTAGTTTGGTTTAGTAAATGCACATTGTATAGAAGGTTTGATTCTTGGTAAAACAATTGCTTCGGTAGGTACAGGTATTGCCTTAAAACTTAATTAACACAGAAAATTGTCTGTTTTTTTAAACAGCCAAGAAAATCGGAACGATTGATCTTCCGAATCGAAACACAGCTTTTATTATAAAAAGTAACAACGTCGAAAGGCCCACCAGAGGTTGCTCTTACAAGGTGGTTGGCTGCTGAGTTTAAAGAAGTCGATGGGAAAAGGGATAATGCTGAGTAGAGAGAGATAGAGCCGGTAGGAGATTTGTACTCAGTCCTTGATAAATATGTGAAATGTACCCACACACCTATATTTATATACTATATATCAAAACCAAGGGGCCATTCAAACAGTACGTAAACAGATTTACTGCATTATATCCCTCCCTCCCCTCTCCTCTTGTCAGCAAAAATAATAGAGCATAAACGCATTATTTTTTTGTAGGAATCCTCGACAATGCATTTCGTTATCAAGCATAGACAATGTGTGAGCAGTATGTGTAAAGCACATAATTACCTACTATTGACGTAATCATTAAATAAGAAAATCAAAGACACCCCCATCTATAGTGCTTACGTAATACTTGAACGGCCCCGTTAGTTTTGATTTATAGTATATAAATATATGGTAAATAGAGTTAGTAAAAAGGATAACGAAACTTACTAACCTGCATTTGAAATAAATAGCCCAAATCCAAACATATCTTCTCGGCCGTCTGATGCGAGTGTTGTGGTACATTGTCCGTCACAAGCATTCCCAAAAATACCGGCAATTTGAACGTGTAATACGCGGTTTTATATGTCACGATAGCACTGTACCGTTCGGGTGTGAACAAACTGTAATCGCTTTTCACTCTGTGTGCCATTGTAAAGTCCAAGTGCTGGCCTATAGCTGTATAGAATAACGTCTAGAAAAAAAAACATGTGTGTACTTATGTACACGCGTTAGTTATACTTCTTTGGCGTAACAAGATAAAAATTAAAAAAAAAATATCTTTCCCCTTATTCTACGTTAGTAGAAAAAACGACACTAACAATAGACAAATTTTACTCTCATAATTTTTCCCTAATTTGCCAAAAGAAGTATAACTTCAAAAAAACTAAAATGTTGGCTAACTACCGGGTGCCGGTTTCTTGTGACGGTGTACGTGCGCTTCGTAAAAATTTACTACTCATTTTCCCCTTACGCGCCAAAAGTATAACTTCAAAAATTTAGATAACTTTATATCGCAGAACTAGACTCCGGACTTGGTTCTCCTAAAGCCATTACGGCGAAGCCAACATGATTGTTTTGCCAAATTAAAGTTTCATTAAGTCCACCGTCGATTATAGAATTTCTAGAATGGAGCGCGCAGAAGGTTGAGCATGTTGCAGATTTGTAACTCTTTTATAAAGTGCGTAGCCGGGCTTTTGATTACCTACCCTTACGCAACAGCGTATCAAACGCAATTACTTTTCTAGGAGTCGTATAATAAACTAAAATCTTTGAAGACTATAACGAAATTTGTGGAATAAAGCATCTGCCAAAATGCAATGAGAGCCCTCTGGCAATGTGTCTATGGGCGACGGTATCACTTAACATCAGGTGAGCCTCCTGCCCGTTTGCCCTCTGTTACATTTAAATTTCTGATATGTTCAATTTACGACAATTTTTTTTTTAAATACTACATTATTATCCAAAATTAAATCACTCATGACCTGTATTGAATCGAGGGGTTTTCAGAATCTACTATGACTTCTATACTCACAGTACGCTTCCAGACTTGGGCATTATCTCAGAAACATCTTTTAAAGTTGAGAACATGCTAAACAGAAATGAAAAGAAGCTTGGTGGTTGTAACACCGAGACATCGCAAAAGCGCAGAATAGATAGTATTAACGACAAAAGTAGAGGATTATAAATAAAATAAGGAAATTGAAATGGCGCTGGACCGGCCTAATGACGAGATAGCAGGTTGAAATGGACAAAAAATATTACAGAATAGCAACCACGGGATGAATAAAAGAAAAGAGGAGGACAGAGCAAAAGACGGGCAAATGATATAAAGAGAATAGAAGGCATAACTTGCGACAAGAAGAGCTAACATTAGAATATGGAAGCAGCTGGGGCCTATGTGTCACAGGACACGCCGATAACCAGAACCGGCACATCTGATGTTTTAGATTAAGTTAGGTTATGCAACTAAAAAAATGTTTCTGGGTAGGTAGGTAGGTTACTGGGTAGTAATAAAGGCTTAATAAAATCGTGTCGAACATACCTCATTAAACAGATGCACAATATTGTTATATGTAGGTAATTTTTCACAATATTCCTTTAATACAATGTACATAGCGGCCTGAACTAAATTGCAATCGTTGATAGCGCCCAGACCGACCTCGGGCAGACGGTACCAACATGGAACTCCCCTTCGTGTTAACGACGCGTCCATAATATCGTCCATTATCAGGAAGTATGCTTGTAACTGTAAATCAAATATTTACAAAAATAGATTTTATTTGTAATATGAATAAATGGTTGTACAATTTATTGTTATTATTGTTTCTAGATATAAGATATAATTTTTTAAATAAATGAATTATTGATTTAATATGTGGGTGAAGTTTCACACTTTATACGATGTTTTTTAGCGATTAGTCAATTTCACTCTAAGGTGCGATCCTTGTACCATTTGTTTCACGTACAAGAAGTGTAAAGAAGTAATAAATAATAACAAAAACCAGCGGCGCTACAACCTTTTAGGTCTGGGCATTTTTGTATATTTTGTGATGATTTATTTCGATAGGCTGCTGTTGAAAAAAATAAAGTCTGGCCGGACAAAACGAAATACTTTAGAGTTTAAGTTAAATGGATGATAAATGCTCCATGCGCATATATTTAGTCACGCAAGAGTTTTAAATAATAATAAGGTAATATTTAAATTATTTTAAGATTAAATACTGGATACATATTGTGTATAAAATCTCAGACATTAATATTTTATACACTTCGGCGTAGAGATAAGCTACTATTAATTAATCATGATTTTCTAAATAGAAAGTTATGGCAAGACGACATTCTTGGGTCACTATGTGTTTGTAACTTTGTAGTACAAATACCGGTTGCCAAAATCAAACACAGACGAAGATATACTACTATGAAAATATAGATGGTATGGTATGACAAAAGCACAAATGCCTTGTTAACCAAAAGCTTAACGATTAAAAAGCGTGATTGAAGAACTGATAATAATATATGTAAATTTAGACTTTCCATTTTCAAATATTGTCGTTCATATACGTTACCTATATATATACATGACTTGATACGTTATTTAGACATACAGCGAGAGCCATTACTGTACAAACAAACAAATTATATTATACAAATTATGATACAAAATAATTAAATGTAAAATTGTCTTTGCTTTACGCAAGCACGTTTGTGACTTAAGGAACCGGCACGAATGGTAGGGGAGCCCAAGAGGGGATTTCGGGATTTACTAAAGCGCGGCAGATTAATATATAGGGGGATACCTTGTACCCGGTTAAGTACCTCCACAAAATATGAGGCCCATATATAAGGCCGCCCGTGAAGGAGACAGGATCAGATTAGTAAAAAAAAATTGACCATCAGAAATTCCCGAGCGCGTCAGATTAAGGTAGGGTGAGTTAATTACATCCTAAAAAGTGTATATTCCACTAATCTGACAATTTGAAAGTGACGTAAAAAAAGGGGAGGGCAACAAAGTTGTAAAAAAAACGTCATCTCGACATTCTCGAGCGTAGCTAAAATTTTTTTTATTTTGAAGGAAATAATTCAAGAATAATGAAAAATATATAATCTGACGATTTCCGCAAGCCGAAATAACAAAAATTCGTCGATAAAGTTAAATGCGTGCAGCTGCGTGATGCCTACATTTCCTTAAACCGATCGGAATCTACTAAACGGCGTTCTAAATATTTCCCTCAAAATTACATTTCCTGTGAATTTGAACCGATTCGGACCGATAGATTTTGAGAAATTTTGAAAAATCTTAAAAAAATAAGAAATATTTTTTTTTAAAGTGGTTTCTTTATCGATCAACTTCAAAAACTAATCCGCCTTTGAGCTTGAAAAACCACGTCGATCGCCACCAAGCTGGTCAAAAGCGGTTGATTCGTTCGAGAGATATCGTGAACGAAAGAAACCCGAAAAAGTGTTTTTTCGGGATTACTCCGAAATTTGTGGTTCGATCAATTAAAATTGCAAAATTACATATGAGGATGATAAAACTGCGTCGAATGCCGCCAACCGCGTGAAAATTGCTTGATCCATTCAAAAGTTATTGCGGTTTGAAAATTCCAAAAATAGTGTTCTATGAAACTTCTATCAGACTTTCGAGCTGGGAGAGCTCAAATGCATAGAAATATTATTTCTTTGAACTCAGCGAGCTCAAAATATCAATTTTAAGCGCCCAGGAATGGAATTAGCGGGAAGTTGCAGGGATGGCCCTTTAGGTGAACCGTTTTTCTAAATTTTTTTTTGTCAGATCAGGCGAATCCCTCTAGATAATCGTCAGATTATGAGACAGTACGTTTAGAACATAAAGATGAACCACATATATCTTAATCTGACGCGCTTGAGTATTTCAAAATTGCGTTTTTTTTTGCAAATTATGAAAATGGCCGTGGGTTTGCGTCCCATCGAAATCGTCAGATTAGTGAATGAGAGCTTTTTATTGGTGCACTTAACACTCCCTTAGAAAATCTGACGCGCTCGATAATTTTTATTTTTTTTTCATTTTCAACCCTTAAATACAACCACCCGCATCATGCAAACGATCAGATTAACATACGTACATTATTAAAAATACGTAGGGCATTGATGCTATCAATATCTGACGCGCTCGAGGATGTCCATGCAACAGTTTTTTTTTACATATTTAACAATCTATAGCCGCTTCCCCCACCGATGAAAAGGTATATATCATATAACATTTTTTTCTTCTTATTATCTAAGCTTTGCATCCCAATAGGTCTCTACGACGCTCGAGTAAATCCCCATTTAGCATCGTGGGCTCCCCTACCAGAATTAAAGTCATCTAAGTTTTCCCAACCTTTTTGTGGCATGGCTTGGTAAAATTCTTATGCCCAAACCTATGTAACATACTTAATTTTTAATATTAAAAAATGTAATTGCTTACTTAAGAAACTTAAAAGATAAATGACGAAATTACTTGGAAATTGTTATATTGTACGTTTCGTTAACACATAGTGTAAACCGGAAATTGTTGATTTTTTTGTGTGGTGTGGACCTCGCGTTGGGAAACATTGGTCCAAATCTACCTATTCTATGATAAACATTAATTATATTAGCTTCTAAATCTAGTTATCTTAAAACGTCCTTGGTCTAATAACATTCGACACGCGCTCGCACACCCTAGTCTTGACCTTGTCGTTCAAAGATTCTCGTCAAAATTTAAAAGATATCGGAACAAAACTCCTATTGATATTTATCACAAATATTTCAAAAGTTAACAATATGTATCTTCAATCTTGAAACACAAAGGATGCAATCGTACGTCATGTGAGTATTTTTGAATTAATAAGAGATTGTGAATTATGATTACGCGATACTTTTGTTAGAAACTAAATCAGTTCCACCATGAATTAGTTACAAATAAAAAAACCAGTTGCGTTACAACCTTTTTCAAACTCAAAATATCTTTATTCATGTAGGTAACCAAGTACACTTATGAATTGTCAGAAAGAAGTTATATTAATTGTAAATTTACGTTTACTACCAGTTCGCAAGTCAAGGGCGTAGAGCGGGTAAGAAGAATTGGCAAGAAACTTTCCGCCACCCTTTTTAATCGCCAATTATTGTAATTGTAATACAAATGGTTTCAACTGGAGCAAATCAATCCCAATTAATATACAATTTAAGTCTGGGCCTCAGATTTCTGTATCTGTTTCATGATCATTATTTTATAATAGACAAGTGTAGATCAGCTGTGCTTGACACCGTCGACTTTTTGGGTCTAAGGCAAGCCGGTTTCCTCACGATGTTTTCCTTCGCCGTTCGAGCGAATGTTAAATGCGCACATAGACAGAAAGGCCATTGGTGCACAGCCGGTAGGATCGAACCTAGGACCTGAGGATGAGAGTCGCACGCTGAATCCACTAGCCAACACTGCTGCAATTACGCAAAATCACCAATACAGCTGAAATTTTTCATACAAATATATATACGTTGACAACATATATTATGGTTGAGCCGTTATGAATTGTTAATACTAATTACACATCCGTCCATGCATCGAGTTGTCTCTCTCCGTACATTATGGCGTGGGGGCCAATAGCTGACCATGCGTCGTACTCGTGAACGGGTGGATGCTACTTGTAGTGACCATTATTTTCTGCCTTGATTCACCTTAATACTACGTTTGCGTGTTTTTCCCATAGTAATGTAAGTGAATGCTCCTATATCATTGCATTGAAGCGTTCGGTTTTCATATTTATTATGTTTTTCTTAATTACAATAATTATTTCTTAATTACAATAATTGAGCGTGATGCTTACAATCGTTTTACAAAAAAGAACCTTGGCTATTTAAAAGAATGACGGAGAGTTTATTCCCAGTTCTCATCCCTTCTACGCCCTTGATTCGATAACTGCCAGTAAATGATAATTTAGAATCATCAAGAGTAACATTTATGAATAAATGATATTTTAATGAACAGTTAGTACACTTTAGTAAAATAACTGCAATAAATTCTGCAGATTTTTACGTGATTTCGCGGGAAAACCGGTGGTTAACGGAAATCCGGGTGAAAAGGTGCTCATTCATAAAATCAAAATTGGTCATCTCTTTTAATTAAAGCCGTGTTTTAAACACAGCGACATTAATTTAAAGTTAAAATATATGTAAAGGAAGGAGATTCAACACAACCTAAGCAAACCATATAAATAGTAGAATATATAATGATTGAACATATAAAAATATATATTATTTAAGTCCCACTTGCTACTGTTTTTAACACCTAATACACATATAATACATGAAATATGTAAAACTTACCATTTCTACACACCATCCCAGAACTCTTACTAAGCGAAGAGATTCCTCAGTGATATTTTCTGGCTTTTCAAGTATCTCGTATGCAAATATAGTAGCCAAGCCTCGGGCTTTTTTACCACCGTGCAAGTTGTAGTCCAATAACTGGAAAAATACTGAAAGTTTATTATGGAAGCTTTCAAATGCGTACAGGAAGGCACATATATCGTTCGTACATTGATTTTACAAAAATCGAACCCGTATAAGTACCACATAAAGCTTTTGCCCAGCGGGACAGACCTCACCTGTCAAGTACAGAAATAATACATTTAATTTGTTATGTTTACTCGTGTAACATAAATAACCTAGATATTCAACGTAAACAATGTTGGCTTACACTAAAAGGTAAAAAAAAGAGCGGAGAATTTATTGCCAGTTCTTCTCTTCCGTTCTAAGCCCTTGATTTGAGAACTGGCACTAAATGTAAAATTAGAAGCATTTAATGACGTTCATAAGTGTACATTATGTTACCTACATGAATAAATGATTTTTGACTTTGACTTTTGTTATAAATAGCAAGAAAGGTCCCAACAACCTTTTTAACAAAATCACTTAACATCGATTAAGCGTCATATAACATTAGCACAAAGTTTGGTTTAATAAGTCTCAACACAAAATTGTAACTTGAGACGCAATCAATAGTAGTATAAAAATTATTCTAAAAAATATAGAAATATAATTTGGTCAAAGCCCGCTTCGGTAGGTAGACTATAAATATACTAGGAGCTGATGTCTAATTATGTACTTCCTGAGAGAGGCTAGTAAACAAATAAAACCTAAACATATTTTGCCTCCTATGACACAATGAACACTAAGACACTATAAACAATAAGATAGATGAATAAAAAGAAACAATTAAAATTACTGGACAAGTTATTAAACATTGAATACATTTATCGGAACAGTTATCAAGTTGTTCTTATTTTATTATGTGTTTAAGAATCTTACGTCATATGTAATTACAACACAGTGAAGTTTTAATTATTATTATTTTCGAAATTTATAACTTTAACAATAATTTAGAATATTTTGCCTGACTAATAAAATAAGGAAAATCTGGTAAAGTTTAAACATCAATTTAAGATATGCGTCGTAATAATAAACTTGTACTTAGAAATTTCTAGATTTTTTTTTTAATTTCTAGAAAAATGTAATTTAAATAAAGTATTGTGAGAAAAGATACGTATGTTCTTTAATTCAAGTAAAAGAAAACAATTCCAACATTAAACAGAAAGATGTGGGTAATAAATCTTTACTCATGTATATTTGTTATATGGAGCTGATAAAAAGTTAGACACTAGGGTGACCATAGAAACACAGACAGAACAATATGGAAAAATAATCAATGGCTTCCTTGGGGTAAACCAAAGACAAAATTGGGGTTTAAGGAAAAATGAGATGTGGTGCAAGTTCATAACTTTTTCAATTTAACCGAGTATATACACTTTTCCAATTTATAAAACTAAGAAAGTACTTTAGTGATTAATGAATTGAGAATCTACTTGAAACTTATGAAATTATAAAGGCCAGAATACTTTGATATTTTAATTATAATCAGCTCTTTAAAAAATTCACAACACTTTTGAGTAATCATACTTAAAAATACTATTTATTAAAAAATGGTTTTGAGAGATTAATTCAAAATAAATGTATTGAATTGCAGCTGAATAGGAATTCACGGATTAGTAAAATTTGTGTTTTGTAAATATACAGAATACAATAAAGTATGAAAAAGCGGTAAAACTACTTTAAATAATGAGAAAATAAAAGAAAACATGATTAACATTCAACAGGTTTCCTGTTTATTGTTCTATAAAATATCTTGAAATCCATTATTTCTTAATTGCTTTATAGTTATTAGTTTTTATGACATTTTACCATTATTATTTTTAATTTAAACTCTTAGATATGTAAATCATTGAATGATAATTATTTAATTTAATTATGCAAATGTGGTATTATTAATAGAATTAAGTGAAATCTTATACATATTTTGACATTTTAAATAAATTTGTCTTTCACCCTGACACAATTCGTTTCAGACCATGAATTGAAGCCTGATTTGCGTTAAGGAATGCCAAATGCACCTTAAAATTATATCTATGAAAATCAAAGACATAAAATTCCATTACCTTTTTTATCCATGCATCAACATCTGGGTTATCATAAAGGCCTGGATTTTTGCTTATAGTCTCAATAATACTAGGATACACGTCTTGAAATGTCTCCATTTCTCGTTTGTACTCTGGTATTGATGCATTGGTGCTCATGCTACTGCACAGCTTAGGTAAAGGATATCTGTAATAAATAAATTAAACTCAAATTACTGCAAAAGTAAATAGAAGAAAAACAGCAAAATAATGAATAATTATACCTAGTAAATATTAAAACCTAGTATTGATGTTTGATAGTCTTATTATAGATTTATTAATAGTTTAGACTCTAAACTTTAGAGTATTGTCATATTTCAACTAATCTGAAAACATTGTGTACACTAACACACAATCCCACAGTAATATGAGCAATAGACACGATCCGATTAAAATTAAATTTGAATTCATTTTGGAATAACAGTAGAATCTTTAAATCATCAGAATTTTAGTAACAAAATTTTAAATTGAGACATGCTTACTTCTTTATAGGTTTGGGTAAAGTTCTGGTAAGCCCATTCCATATCTTCCACATTCTTGTACACGAATTCATTTTTAAAATTTTATGATGCGCGCCAACCACTTTCACTGGCCAACTTCTGTATCTAGGACGAACTCAAACTGGCGACGAAATTGTCTAATAAAACGAAAAAACAATTATTAATCCAAGAGGTTGGCTGTGTCATTTATCAAATAAATTTATTATTTTTATTTTTTTTAAGAAGATAACTACACAACATTTACAACAACATTGACCGTGAAAACTGAAGTCTAAAATCGGAATTCTAAAAACTATTTGCTATTGACTGTTTAGTGTTTACTGAGTACTGACTGATACTTGACAATTGATTGAGTTGACTATTCAAATGTCACACATTATGTGACATTGACGGTAGTGACATATCATTATTGCTGCAGACATATATATTATATCGGTGTTACTGTCAGTGCCTCGATTTAAAATTTGCGCGCTACAAGTGCAAAACGCGGCAGATTAGTTACTAATTACTATGCTAGACTAAAATTGCTAGAAATCCTAAATGAGGGAATAATGTACAGTTATGTATGGGCGAATAGTGCCTAGATCCTAGATCTGACTTCTGGTTAACAGGCATATCTAGGCTGGCCCTTGTAACTTTCTGGGATTTTTCACTTCACCATATGGAATAATAGTACATAATTATTGAAATCAATAACCAATTTTTGTCAAAAATATGGCTAATAGATACCCAGGTATAGTCACAGGTATAGACTGTTGTCGTCCTGACAAATAAAAACAGTTTTTTAAATAATGGTTTTTATTCTGAATTTTCGTCCAACCGACATACATTTAATATTGTTATCTCTTATCCATTACGCCACACTTCCACAACTAATTTTCCCCGATTTTTAGACCCCTTCTGCAATCCGTCAAGTAAATAGTATCAAGAAAAATAAATTTGTCTTATTTTTTGAAGGTTAAACAAAAACAACAAATTTGATCATTTTAAATTTAATTCGTGTTGTTACATCGAGACTAACAACTATTCGTTAACACAGATTCATAGGCTAATTTTTACATTAAAAAATTATAATACATTTTTTTTGTCCTATAAAAACTTACAGCTAAATTCATACAATATAAAAATGAATACTTTAAATTCGTTGCCTAAAGATATTATCTAAGATTTTGAAAAACAAGTCATGTGGCAGTCCTCTTGTGACTTGCTGAATTTGTGTTCGAATGAGATCATAAGTGGCTTCTTCGTATACTGAGTAAGTGTGAGGCAATTGCAATTCTTCATATAAATCCTTAATTTTGTTGATATCGTTAAGGTTTGCGCTTCCGTAGTGATTTTCCATGAATTCTCTTTGTACTGGAGTTGCCCTTTGCAGCGCAACAACTGCGAGCCACGTGCATTTCCCTTCTTGGATGTCTGAGCCACTTCTTCCCATTACTGCTGGATCTCCGAAGCAGTCAAGGAAGTCATCCTGTAAAACAGATATACATATTAAGTGACTACTTATTCATTATTTTCATATATTTAGGTGACTATGAAACTTGAATCTGTAATAAAACTCCTTTGAATGTGCTAGTCTCAAATTAATATATTAGTAATTAATAAAACAATTGATTAGAATTGTAATTTAATAATATAATATTAAAATGGAAAGTATCTATATAAGGTTCCTCGTATATTATCTATGTTCCGATATCATTATCATAAAAACGTGTTTCACCTTAAAATTATTATAACTATTTTTATCGACATTATCTGTGTACTATGTAATATAGATTCATTTTAACACTTGTCTACATTCTCTTAATAAAGGATAAACATTTTTATTGTTTTATTCCTAACGTTCATACTTATAAATCCTTTGCTACTTATAAAACAGCTTGTATTATCGGATTGCTCGACAATAGGTGCGTATTTGTCAGTAATTTTAAGGTAAATAAGAGAAATATGTCGCCTCAAACTTCGAAACTTTATAAGTTTAGCCAATTAAAATGGCATGCAGAAACGTATAAGTATTAAAAAATCAACCAAGTAGACTGCATTAATAAAAATTCCGTGTCAAAGACTAGCATAGAATATAAATTTTTGTCATATAATAATCTAACTCTAGTCTTGTCTAATCATTTATTTTTTAATTTATGTAAGTATGTATTTGGGGGCCTCATAGCCTAGCGGTCTTATTAAGTGGCATCTAGGTGAGGGGTACCGGGTTCGATTCCCAGTTCGAGGGCAAGTTTTAATTTAATTTAAATTTGTTCTCGGCCTTTGGGAGGGTTGTGCGGTACCGGGCGAGTGCTTAAACCGTACATAGAGGACACGGTCGAATTTCTAAAGACAAGCACGAAATTTAAAAAGTCCTATACTTGACGCTGGCTAATGCACAAATCGTGCCAGAGCCATTAAAAAAAAAAGTATGTATTTTATGTCACTTTGGGGCGAGAAATTTTTCATTATTCTGAAGATTTAGGATTTAAGATTTTTTTATAAACAAATCTGATTGTTTCTCTTCTTACCAAAGATTGATATTTCGACTGAAACACTTGTATAGTCAAGAAATAAAGGGAAACCGAAAACCTCCCTATAGCTATTGTTGGTAAGATCGCGCGTCTTTACTTTTTCTACTATACTGCGCCACTAAAAGAAGCCAAGTTACGCGCCAATCCTTATATGTACAATTGAGTTACACCTTAATAAATTAATTATTTCCTTGTTCGAAACACTTACTTGAATTTGAAAGAACTCTCCCATTTCAAGTAAAATTGTCTTGGCCTGTCTGTGGGTTTCAGGGTCGTCCACTCCAGACATTAGGAGCGCTAATCCGACAGGCATTTGGAAGGTGTAGTAGGATGTTTTGTATTTGGTGATGGCTTCGTATTTGTCCATTGTGAATAGTGACAGGTCCGGCTTATCTGTCTTCATTATTTGTTGTTCTAGGTAACGGCCGATTGAGCATTTAATTAGCATCTGAAATAATTTGTTCACCATGAATTTAGGAGGAATAAAGTTTGTAAACCATTGCTCTAAAACGTATTGTAAAGTTAGCTAAGCTCGGTTATATAAAACAATGGAAAGTTGCCTTGACAGACTATTATAGTGTGTATTACTAGCTGCCCCCGCGAACATTCTTTTACCTTAATATGATCTTTTTAATAGGTAACCAACATATGGAACATTTTGCTATGCTACCCTATACAAATTGTTCGCTGGAATAAAAACCTAAGTTCTAAAAAAATCTAATTTAAAAAAAAATTATATCTATAAAAACCTTTCTTAGTTTAGAATAAATTTAAAAAAAATAAGCGAATTTGTCTAGCCGTCTTCGAGTGCGCTTAGCAACATATTTTGCGATTCATTTTTATTTATATAGATTTTAGGCATCTCCATTTAACATCAGGTAAAATTGCAGCCAAAGGTCACTTATTAAGAAACTTTAAGGAAACTCTATATGTTTAAAGTATCTTATCTTAATATATTATACATACCTATATGTATATAAATTACGCATCACCGTTTGTTGTTTGTCCGCTATGGACTCCTAAACTACTTAACCGATTTCAATTTCAATTTGATCTAACTTAAAAGATAGGATAGCTAACATATATAAATAATTCTACTGTACGTGTGTATGTCACGGAACTCCTCTTAAACGGCTGTACCGATTTGAATGAATTTTCTGTATGCGTTTGGGTGGAGCCCTGAATGGTTTAGATTCATAAATCAGATGGCAGATGGCGCTGCAGTCGGTACTTTCATACTTTGTTTAATATCCTAATCGATTGAAATATCAGTACAACATCTGTCGGGTCCGCTAGTTATATATAAAAATAATCTCTAATAAAATTCTACAAATTAAATGCTTTTGTAAATTCGACGATATTTTTTGATAAATACCTCATTGAACATTTCCAATACGTTTTTGTAATAGGGTTTTGATGAGAAGTATCGTTTGAGTGTGGAGTACATGGCTGCTTGGATCATGTTGGCATCGTTGACGCCATTCAGACCTACATCTGGTCGCCTGTACCAGCATGGCACACCTCGTCTCATCTCCCTGCCCTCCATGACATCGGCGGATAATAACTGGAGTGTGTGGAACTGAAAGAGATATTTTAATTAAATACATTTTAAAATGCCGTTTCTTTGTTAATTAGGTGTAAGCATCATACACTTGGGGCAAATAAAACTAGAGTTGATTCGTTAAAAAGCTAACCATTATTTGTCTTCCACAAGTACAAAGACTATAAATAATAGTGATTGTTTCAGCTGGAATTGAACCTACACCTCTATGTTTAAGCTTTGGAGGTGAGAACTGGAGGTAAGGTTTAGAATTGTCAAAAAAAATCACGGTTCGAAGGTCGAACTCCAAGCTAAACGCTTGAAAAACTAACTATAAAAAGTGTGATATAGTAGTATACGTTTGCAATTAGATTAATTAAGTGTACTAAGATAACATCATACTGGTATTAAATTAAAATAATATATGCCTACATACTGTTTTTAACCTTGTAGCAGTACCCATAGGATTATATTGTAGTAATCATAAATAAATTACGCATATTCATGAATACATAGAAAAACACACAAGCACATGTGTAGAGTGTGTATGTGCATACATACACATTCTCCATGTGGTGTCCTTATATATAATTATTTTGCTAATGTCGCAACCTCTTATGCAAGTATAATAATAATTGTTTATTAAGCATAAATGTACACTACGTCTCAAGACCTTCGATGGTCTGATGACCTGTAACACAGGTACTCTTGCCTTTAACAGGCATCCTCACACAAACAAGCATTTGCTTCGATTATAAAAAACTGTTGCTTTATTTTGTGCACTATGTATGTAAGTTTTTGTGAGAAAAAAATATAGATTATTATTATTACAGTATAACTTTAAAACTCTGAGTTTTCGTTTAGTTTCTGAGTCCGGAAAGAATGCTCGGAAAACTGTCCATGTTATTTAATATTTATATTTGTGTATACACAGTCAAACCTGGATAAGTGAGAGTTCAAGAGAGCACAATCTCATTCTCGCTTATAGAGGTTTCTCACCCGAGTTTCTCGCTAATGCAGGTACATGGGTAGCGTTTTAACAAGTCACAGCAAGTACGAATGTAGTAAATATGTAATATGATTAAATTATGCGCATAATGTGCACAACATATATATTTTATTTTATTTAGAACTTATTTACACTTAAAAAATCCGTCAATTTCGTTTGGGTTTCTGTTTTTGTATTTTGAATGTTTTTCTCTAATTCATACATTTTGTCGAATATTGCTTGATCAACAACAACTCGACTGTCGCTTATAGAGGTATAGATAAGTAGAAGTCTCACTTACGGAGGTCCATGAGGGAAAAACTAGTCTCTCTTACAGAGGTTTCTGTTTCTCGCTAATAGAGGTTTTGGGAGCTTAAAATGACTCGTCCCGGCTATTACTCTCACTCATAGAGTTTTCTCACTTATCCAGTTCTCACTTACCCGGGTTTGAATTTAAATATATAAACTTAAGGTATCGAAAACACCAAAAAATTACTATGGTTAACCTGACCTAACCTGAAGGGCTAAACCACAGGGCAAATTTTAAACTCAGCGATGTTATAGAAACTATGTCTATATAACATCGCTGCATATTTTAAACTGCCTTTAAAAAAATTAAAATGTGATAAATATGAGCTTGATTTAAAACTAAACACAAAAATAAATTTGTAAACAAAAAATTGCCGCCCAATTTCACACTACTATAATAATTGTCAAAATATGTATGGAAAATCTTAGGAAATTAATGAATTTGTTTCACGAATTGATATAGTATATTAGTGCCCAGTGTCTAATAATGCTTATTTGGTAACTCGGCAGTTGAATTAATTTTGGTTATCGGTCATAAAAACAACTTGTTTTCACGTTTTATTTTGCGTGTTTGGTTTTTTAAATAGATATTCAAATCTATATAAGGATTGTATAATGTTATCTTTTCAATATTTATTATCTTTGAAATCTTGTTTATGAATACAAGTTTGTACAACTGATATGTAATAAGGCAATATAATATTTATGGTATAATTTTAGTCTATGGAATTGAAAACGTAGTGCATAATGTAAGATAATTATAGAATTGTCTTGAATTTAATATAGACTAAAAATAATTAAACTAGAAAGTCATTGAAAAGTGTCAATTACAGTCTGAAATTTAACCTCAAAAACCGGATTTCGATTTTCGTGTCGATTTTTGACGCAATTTAACTGAGAATCAAAATAATATTCGATATGCCAATTATAACTAAACATCGTATTTGAAAATTTAAAAAACATACCATTTCAGTACACCAGCCCATAATGTTAGCCAAATGTATATTTTCTGGTGTCAAATTTTCCCTCTTCTCCACCATTTTGTATGCAAGGACGGTCGCCAGGCCGCGATTCTTCTTTCCATTCGGCACATTGTATTGCAACAACTGAAACAAAACGGTTTTATTCGTTTTTGCTTAACCATGTAAAACACGTTACGTTAGTATTCCTCAATAATTTGGATTGTCAAAATACTCAATCCTTAAAAAAAATCTTTCTGACAGATGCAATTTTAAAATCGATTTAAACATCGTTAATATTTTTGCTGTAGAACACACAAAAACAAGTCTTTGTTAGAAAAGAGGAAAAAGTAAAGAAATAATTGTAGAATGTGCAGGAAATTATTGCATTAAAGCAATTTAATGCTTTAAACCGGTCCTTGATTATAATATCATTTATTTGTTTTCTAAAGTATTTCAACAACCCCGTTTCATTACATTTTGCAATTATTCTCACCTCTCAGAGTGGAAACTTGTAAAAAATATTTCGCCACAAACTATGTTGCAAGGGAAACTCGAATAGAACTTTCCAGCAAATATTAACTTATATAACGAAATATTGTTTAGTTTAAATCTTAAACGGTGAAATGACAAAAGATATTGTTATACTTAATTGTTTTAGAAATCTTAAAGGTATTATGACGTCTCATAAAAAGAATTATTGGGTATTACTAGCTAATCTTGCTTTGTATTTAAGTCTGCGAACACAAAAGACGGATTCCGAAAAACACTAAGAGGGTTTACAATTCGTTTTTTATTATTTAATAAGGCCGAGGATAATTGTACCTTTTCAAAAAGCTGTTCGTGAAAGTTGCGTGTTGTAAAAGGTAGGTAATATTGAAGTCAGTGTATGGACAGCCATAATACTCCTAAACACTAAAGTCTGCTATAAATAAACGATTTCTAACAACCTGTTTTCTCAGCGACCTTCCAACATCAATACACATAAGCGGTAGAAACTGCCAGTCTGTATTTGAAATGATTTATACCACGATGTAGTCATAAAAACCGCAATGGAACACAAAAAAAGGTTTTTGTCTACCTGCTTATAAGTAAGTTCCAAAAGTACTACTTTTTACAAATCGTTTATATTTAGAACGAATCAACGTTTAGACTTTGTTTTATTGTTATCAGAGTAATTAGGTATCGCCATTTTAAATTGTTTGTCACACATAATCTAACGTAATACAGGATTTGACATGGAGAAAATCACGACATTAGTCCGTGCAAATACAGGTTCTACATTATTATGCCCTCTGACAAAAACAACATAGAACGTACCTTAGCCAACCATTTGCTGGCTTCTGGCACGTCAAGATGCTTGTCAGATTCTGTGAGGTCCCTCACGATGTCCGGGAAGCAAGCCATGAACTCCCGGGACTGGTCCTTGGAGACGGCCAGTCCTCGGGCAGCCAGTGGCATTTGCTGAGACGTAAGAGTCGACAGGTATCTAGAGGATTAAAACTGGTTAGAGTCCAGCGTCTCTAAAGCGCTATCTAACAGTTACTATTAAAGAATAATTTCTCAGTATCACTTTTCTCAATTAATGATCTCAATTTTAAAATAAGTTGAATATAGATTGTTACAAAAGCCCGTTATTTACAAACAAAATAAATTGTCAAATTTTATTGTAACGCAATTCAATAGAAATGTATATTTTATTTTGTCTATGAAAAGTTCTTTATTGTAAATTGTCCGAAATAGGAGGTGATTTATTCTTTAAATGTCTGACAGGACTTACAGATTTATTATATTTCGTTTACAACACCTAAATTGTGTTACTAAGGCAACTTATCATGATAAAATTATTACACAATCATAATGTAATAGTATCTTAAATACAAACAACGGACTGATAATGACATACAACATTAATAACTACAAAAGTATTAGAGGATTCGTTTAAATTCTTTGTTTGTAAACACAGATCATATTACACTATTGAAGGGTTCTTGTGCACATACGATATGCAGTTACGCAAACGTGAGGTCATTTGAGTTCACTAACCTGTGATATTTTTGCAACTTCAGAAGTCTGTTGGGAAGACCAGCGTCTTCGGTCTGTGCATGGATGATTGTTTGGTCGAGTCTTGGCGACATCGCATCCGAATTGGTAACACTTGTTGTTTTGCTTATTTGTCTGCGAATTTCGTTCTTGTATAATTGTAGTAATTTATCAACACTCCTCTTCGAGAACATTTTTGAAGTTTTTATTAGCTTGCTTCAAAAAATCTTCCAAATCGCGTTGGTCTTGATACTTGAATTTCAATTTGTTTCTTATAACACACCCGATCGGTTTGAGATCTAGTAAACGACTGATTTCGAATGCTTGATGCTTTGTTGTGTTTTTAACTCCTTACCAGTTCCAGTCGTTCACTCCAAATATACAATAGAGTTGTGTGAATTGTTTACATTCATTATGTCGATATCGAGAATTGGGTATTTAAGCTTTTTGTTAAAGCGGTCTCGAATGTAATTCATTTTATAATAATTGTAATTAGAAAAATATACTGTCATTAAGTAACTAATTAGCAAACGACTGACTTCATGAACTTCATGAAATTAATCCTTTCATCGTAAACTTTCATCTTTAGTTAGTTTTATTATATTTTGTTAAAATTGAAAATAATTGAATAATGAATTCTGCTATACATTGTATGTATGATGATCGGTTAGTTGCGTTGTAATAATTGTCAAGTTAACTATGTTCCACATTTAAATAACTAAATTAATTTTATTCCTGTTGAAATCAATTCCCGTTCAGCAAAGATTTCAATGTAAAGACTATTGTCTGGACTTTAAGTTTATACCAAATCAGTCAAAATCTGTTATAACGACATCGAAGGGACTACTCATATTTGGTCGTAAAAACCGATACTAACAGTCGATTACGTTGTTATTAAGTACCTAATACAATAGAATTCAGCCGGGACCTCTGATTTTGGTCGATATAACCGATATGTTGTTCTAAGCGATGTCGTCGTAAACGATTTTGACTGTATATTACAAAAATAAATAAATACATATTTGTATAGGTATGTTATTATCGATAAAACATCGCATCACTAAAGTCGATAATGGCCACGCCGGCCGGCTCCCCTCCGATAGTGCCACGAGGGCGACGTCACGTAGGCACGGAGCAGCGAGTTCGTACGGACGCTGCGTGCGTGCTGCGTCGATGCACACAGCGCAACGTGACCCAGAATTGGGTACTTATCTATCCCGACACGTATATTGAACATTGATTTAATATTGATACTCTGACAAAACATGTTCTTATAAAGCTTGAAGTCCTGGACACATTTGAACGTCTGTGTAATTGAATATTTAGCGCAAGGAGGTGAACCGGTTTGACTATGAATTATTATTTGAATTAGGGCTAAGTTGGACTACCGTTTGTTAAAAATGTATACATACGAGAGTCACACTTTGTATTGTCTTTGACCCCTTCTAACTTATGATTATGGAAGTTTTTATTTATTATAATCTCGAAATTATATAAATGGAGCGAGTTAACAAATTAATGTTTGCGTTTTTGTTAATTGTTACAATGTATACTAAGAGAAAAGCCTAAAGAATACATTTCATAAGTAACAGATTTTTTAAAGGCCGGCAACGCACTCGCGTGGCTTTGAGAGTGTCCATGAGCGGCGGAATCACTTAACATCAAATGAGCATATATCTGACAGGATGAGTGGAGGCATGTAAGTCTTACTAAAGTAAGAGAAGCTCATTACTGTTTAGGTATATTTTAGTGTTAATTTGTCTAGCATATGCAATAAATAAATATATTATTCTTATTTTATTGTCCATTATTTTGCCAAGCAAATGCAATTATTAAAATAAACATTTATGCATCAAATGATTTTGAATAGTCGCGATATAACGTATTTAAATACCAACATTGATAACGATTTATATAATTAGAAATTATCTCTTAGATTCTAAACTTTAATGGGTATTATCGTTGGTAAAAATATACAGATTTTGTAAGATAACTTCGATCGTGTCGCAATAAGTATGTAATAAAATATTTTTTATAAAGATTTTATGCCATCAAAAACATAACTTGTAAAAGACCCGCGCAACTCAACTGAGTGAGAAGAACTCTTCTGCCGTAAAAAGTTGTGAGATCCATGTAAACCAAGTCAGTTAATTTATTTAGTCCCCACTTTAGACCTTCTGTCTTAAGTTATTACGCAATAAACAAACCTAACATCTTTTTACTGACCATCATTTTTAACAATCCTTTATTTTTTAAATAAAGAGCAGTGTTGACCTAGTGGCGTCAGCGTGCGACTCTTATCCCTGAGGTCATAGGTTCGATCCTTGGCTGTGCACCAATGGACTTTCTTTTTATGTGCGCATTTAACATTCGCTCGAACGGTGAAGGAAAACATCGTGAGGAAACCGGCTTGCCTAAGACCCTAAAAGTCAACGGCGTGCGTCAGGCACAGAAGGCTGATCACCTACTTGCCTATTAGATTACCAAATGATATTGAAACAGATACAGAAATCTGAGGCCCAGACCTAAAAATGTTGTAGCGCCATTGAAGTTTTTTATGTTTTAAATAAATACATTTGGTCATCGCATGCAAATACAAAGTTATATGTGTCACACATGTAATATATATGTCGCAGCCAAAGTTTAGTTAATAGGCTAGAGTGTTAATTGAACGGTTAATTAAGCTAGTTGGCTGCGACATAATATATAAAATAAGATTGTTTGATTTATACACTACACACTAATTGTATTTTTATTTGAATCTGCTAGAAGTGCCTTAGAGCATCGTAATAAATTATAAATATATACATATAGGTTCAAAAGATTCGTTTATTAAAGGAATGAATAATTATAGTATAGTGTTATAAAACTAAATATTAATATGTAATAAATAACTTCTTAACTTCTCAACCATTTTTATGTCGTGGGTGGCGACATAAAAATGGTTGAGAAACGATGCCTTAGAGTTATGATGATCGGTCATTGAGTGACAAATTTAAAAAACTTTAACTGAAGTATTTCCGAACCACTTCGAGTTACCGTCCTTCAGGAACAGAGCCCCTGAATTAAAAAAAATCTTTAACCTGTTATAATTCTTAAACTACTGTTGTAATTGTGCTATTTTTAACAAGGTGTCGCGGAATTTTTCAATGTGATCTACTTCGAAAAAGGATCGGTCTACATCATGGCCAGTCGAAGTTAAAATTACCAAGACATTGACCTACATTACATTATTCTTGATTGCCTTTCCTATAATTCAATTTTGCCGTAATTTACACAGATATTATAAAATAATAATATCGACTGTTAACTACAGAAGTGCTTACATCATCTTTCACTGTAACTCATACTTCCGATTCCAACGATTTTGTTTCCAAGTTCATTGTCACTTTGTTGGCAGACGTCAAAAATCGCAAAATATAACCAACTAGCGACCTGTCTCGGCTTCGCTTAACAAGACATGTAAAGTCTCGACAAGCTTACAAAAATACAAATCCTTCGACTTTATAATATAAGTATAGATGGCAAGCGGCCGGGTGGATGTGATGTTGATCCCTTGGAATATGGGACGGGCTTTGGTATGGGATGCTACTTGTGTGGACACGTTAGCCCCGTCTCACCTCCCTCGGACAAGCTGGGGCGGCTGCAGAGCAGGCACAAATATCAAGTCTTTCCTCCAACTTCGATTTTGTTCCATTTGGAGTAGATACTCTTGGGTCGTGGAGCTCAAGTGCACAGGCGCTAATAAAAGTTGATGCCTGGTAGTTAGTACCGGTGACCGCTGAGCTGGTGCTTCGATAAGTATCGAAATACAGCGAGAAAATGCTGCCAGCCTTAAAGGTACACTACCACAGGGACCAAACTTTTTAGCTTAAGAAAATTCTAAATACTGTATATTGGATTGTTATGTTTAGGTTTTAATAAACGATTTAGACATACAAAGTATAGAGGCTTAAAATATTAAAGATTTGTTTGTCGTTAAAAATTAACTACCCGTCCCTATCCGCTTAGCTCCTTCTCAAACTAACTTTAAATTTCTCTGTACAAGCATTTCCTGTCCACATCGTATCCCTAAGGCCTCCTACGCACTGGCGACCATGGTCGCCGCGACCTAGCCGCGGCGGCCAGTGAATTCTGGACTTTATATGGCAATCGCTATAGCCCCTACGCACTTAGCGGCCAGCGACCAGCGGCCACCGTTGGCCGCGGCGTCCAATTTGATGCCACGCGACCAGCGACTAGTTTTCGTAGTAAATACACAAGCACAGTTAGCGTGATTATCTTCTGCACGTCCATCTTGACACATCCTTGGAAGTCGACTGCAAATTTTTCGGCCGTCCACATGTCGCGCTTGCCTACGCACCGGCGACCATGGCCGCGGCGGCCTGGCCGCGTCTATGGTCGCCAGTGCGTAGGCAGCCTAACATTCGTACTAACTGATCTGAAATTATATATTACACTTCTAGACACATCTATTGGCCCACCTTGCATTTTCAGTTTCTTTTGGTCCTACCTAAAAATTTATATTAGGTCGAGTAAAAAGTTTTTATGCAGTTTTGAACCTGGCACATTCATAATTGCATTCAATATTTTTTTTTAATTTCGAACACAGAATTTAAAGAAACAAAAGACAATTTGGAGCCTGCTCATTGATATCAAACAATCGAATACTAAGAAAACTTGATTTTATTGGTTTAGTTGGATTTAATTCTTGAAAGTGTGATTTTTCTCTTTGGTTTTGCAACAAACATTACTTATTCTTAACATTAAGATGAGGTTCTATCAATAATCTATGGATACTTCGCCTGAAGTCGCCGCCCAAGCTGTGGCACTTATCCGGGCCGGACACAGCCAAAGAAATGTGAGTGATCAACTTAATTAAACGTTTATCGGAGATACCTAGAGCCTGGCGGCTTTGTTCGTGGCCAAGGAAGGCCACGATTTCGGGTCACAACTGAAAGGCAGGATCGATTCATCGTGACGACCAGCCTGAGAAATCATCACCTTACCTCCATTGAGATACAAAACCAACTTCGCGACTTCCATGGAGTAAATGTGAGCGCTCGAACTGTTCGGAGAAGATTAAAAGAACGCGATATGGTACCACACAAGCCAGCTAATGGCCCAAAACTAACGCGAGCCCACCGAATAGCGCGCCTTCATTTCGCGCGCTCACACTTAAATTGGACTCAGC